ATGGAAACAGAAGCTGACTATTATTAAAAAATTATCAAAAATTTTTTGATCAGCTTATAAAAAAGGGAAGCAAACTGACACACCTAGATTTACTCCAGAACAATTTACCAAAAAAGCTAATGAGGAATGATTCAATAGCATTACTCTCAAAAAAAAAAACTAAAAATATAGTAATAAAAAATAATACAAAAAATAATTTCAAGCAAAACTGGGGAAGTCTTAGCCTCCGAAGATGTTATTTAAAAAAGTGTGGTTTAATAACAAAAGTCTAGATTACATACACAGATTCAGACAAAATATCACAAGATAAAAAAATTTAACAATTAAAAAATTTTGAAAATAAAAACACCAGCTAAAATGTTTAAATAAGCATTAAATTGCCCTCATAACATAAGAGCAATTCAATGTAAAAACATCTACTGCATGCCACTTCAAGTTTTAGATTTTGCTAATTTTTACACCACTCAAAGATTTCAATAAGTTATGAATATTCCCAAAAATTTTGTCATCTAATTCCTAACGGTTTCAAAAATACGACTATTCAAACTTTGTCTTGAAAATGTTGTTCTGAATAGTTTAGATAAAGTTGTTACAAAGAATTGAGAATTGTCTTTTCTTAAACAGAAAAAAAAAAAAAAAAAACATGGTCAAATTTACTTAAATTTGTTAAAACATGATAATAATATGACTCTACAATCATATTATTTATAATAAATAAAAAGATATTTTGTTTGCAAAAAACATATTCTAATTATGTTTTACATAATTAGCACTTTAAGAAAATATTATGAAGGATTAATACATATATAAGATTTGTGCAAACAGTTTGTGAACTTTTTCAATGTTTCCTAAAGAACAATCCTTTAATCAACTTTAACACAGCTAAACAGCTAAAACTGTTAATTTACAATAACAGTTGATTTAAATAAAAATAGTAATATATTGTACAAATATTTTATATAGTAATTATATAGAATCAAAATTTTGTAAGCCTTATTCTGCAAAGTTTATATGGTCCCAACTCCTTTTAATTGTGGTCTTTAAATTTTAATTTTAATATATGGTCCTAACTCCTTTTAATACGTCCCAACTCTTTTTAATTCTCTATGGGAAGATTCTGTTTGTTGAAAAACATTTTAATGAAGCAAAAAAAAGCACAAAAAAATGTTGCAATTTTCCCTATATTTGGCAGAAACCTATTTTAGAATACAAAAAAAAAATTTGCATTCTAAAAAAGGTTTAACATAATTTAATTAATAGGTCTGACATAATTTTAATTATCACTTGTTGCACTTTAGTCTGGAGACTTGCTCAAAGAGGTGCTTTTTTAATACAAACATAAAGAATATTTATTGGCTTTAGTATTTATGACATGTTACAAAAAAGAAATCAACTTATCTGAATATAAAATCTCTATACAATTAAATTGAAATCAACAAACATGGTTCTTAGTTGCTTACCCTTATGGTCAATTTTATGGTTCTTAAGTTGAGATGTTTCCTAATGCTGTGAAACTTTCATTTAAGTGAAATCTTCTTAACAATTACATCATTAACATATGATTTTTAAGTGAAGTAATAATTTTTTTGTATTTTTAATGCAAAAACTGTGAATACCAGGACTAAGTATTTGACAGCATTTTGAGTGAAATGAGACTAATTATTTGAATTCCATTTGCAATGGAATTTTATTTCTTTATAGGTAAATTTAAAAAGATTAGGTTAAAAATACTATTATTATTATATGCTATTAATGGTTATGCAACCCTTCCTGTTATCTCCATATGAGGATACAGCTTTAAAACTCAGTTTAATGGTTCTGAGGCCGGCTGGTAGTAAGGTTTCCCGAACTCTGTGGTAGCTCTCAGAGAGGCTGATTCCATCAACAGCTGCAAAATATCAGAGTATTAACAGTGCCATGTTGCGCATGGATAATGTCCCTGTTAATGCTTTTGGTGTGCATTGTCAAGGCCACATAAGGAGCCCTATGTCACGGCTTAAGGTTAATTAACAGGATTGAGACAACTGCATTGCTCATTGATTAGGAGGCTGTGCTCTATCTATGAATGAGTCAAGTTCTCATTAAACCCAAATCATGACCAAAGTAACCAAAAATTTTAAACCTAAAAAACCATCCCCACCACCTAAATGTTTTAATATATCTTTTACAAATATTCGCGGTCTGCAAAGCAACTTTCCGTCAGTTGAGTCTTACCTCCTGCAAAATTCACCAGACACCTGAAATGATGTATTTATCCTAATTTTTTAAAGTTGAAGTTGTGATCAGACCCAAAACTTATATTTAAGACACACACATGTCAATTTAAGACATTTTTAAGGCACACACAAGCTAATTTAAGTAGTTTTATAAATTTCCTCCAGAAACTCATTTGTTGAGTGAAATTTATTTAATGATTTAATAATGATTATTATATTATTATCACTACTATTATTATAATATCATTATTATTATACATAATAAATACTTAGTATAATTATATCTGCTCTCTGTTAAATTTAAAAACTTTAAGTCACAGTATGCTTGTTAGACCGCTAGCTTTGTAACTTAGTTTTCTTTTTCTTTTTATAACTTAAATAATTTAAAACTCAGAGCAGAGAAACTTACACATCAAAAATTTTGTCAAAATTGAATTGCCTTGAAAGCTGACCAAGAATGCATGGATATATTCAATAACACTATTTCCTTGAGAAAAATCTGAAACTGCATTAATAAACTCTAATACAAAAAATAATTTCAAGCAAAAACTGGGGTGTATTTAGCTGCAAAAGATTCAAAGGCTGAGACAAATAATTAAAAATAGGATTACAAAAAAAGCAAAAAGAAAGAAACAGCAGCATTGATTAAGCAGATAATATTCAGATAAAAGAAAGTGTTGTTGAATAACAAAAGCCAAAAAGAACAGTAACAAAGTTAGTGACTGAGTTAATTATTGAAAACTGACAAAGAATCAATTTATTTTTCAGAAGATGATAATTATGTACTTAGTTTGATTAGATATTATTGAAAAGTTTCATTGTAAAAAATGCGTAGAATAGCTGTTTAAAGTCAATGTATTTTATAAAATAAAATAAAAATCATAGAAATAATTTTTTTCATTTTATAAAATGAAACAAAACAATGATGTTTATGAGTAACTTTTTTTTACAAGTTTATAAATGCTGTTTGTTGTGTGTTTGTTGTTTAGAGTTTTAGGTTTTATACTGTTAAAAATAGTTGTAAGTAATTTGTTAAAATCTCATCTTGATATTTATATTTAATTATTTGTAAAAAATAATTAAATATAAATATCAAGCTCTCAATGGTTTATTCATGGAAAAATTGTATTGAATTGAGGTATTAAAATTAAATTATTTCTTTCTTGTTATGTGCACTCAATTGGTGACAAATTTAATTTGTCACGTGGTAAAGCATAAGATGCTTGCCTAACTGGATAAACTAGTTATTAGTGCTAATCCTCATCAAAATGCCAGTAAACGCCATAGACGCGACTCTGAGGAGATGTTTATTACTCAACTACTACACAAGTTATTTCAGAATTGTAAACCGAACAATTTCATAAATAATGTCTTTCATAATCCAACCCCATTCAAATGGATTAGGCCACTATGGATTCTCATAAAACGATTGTGACCAGCACTATGAAACCTAGTTAACAGGTATAGAAATGCTGTTGTGAAGCATCTTGTGTAGGCGGTATGGCTTCTCCTAAACATTAGTTTTTTGAAAATAAGTCTTTTTTGGATTCATTTACACTACTGTAAGAACTTGTAGTATCATATTGTAGCACAGCAAATCTTTCAATTAGGTGGAAAATACTATTGATATCATACTCCAAGGGGTAAATGGATATTGATTGTAATGCATTAATGAGATCTTTAAAATTTTCCCACATTTTTTCAAAACAAGTTTTTTTTTAAAAAAAAAATGCAACTTGACCATAACCTATCATTGTGTAAAGAAGGTAAGCATTGATGTTTTAAACTAAGATATTTTACAATGACTCAAAAAAATAAACTAATTCTATATTTTAATAATATATTCTATTAGTTATTAATAATATTCTATAAATTTCTTGTAAAATTTTGTACATAGCCATTTTCTTTTAAAAAATAATAGTAATCTATTTTTGCATGCTAACTTTGTACAATTTTACCACCTGAATTAATAACGTTTTAAGGGTTTGTAACTTTTTATCAGTTAACATTTTCTACATCTCAATCATGTTTAATCTAAAAATCTCTTACTCTTCCTTGTTTAGAATACTATATTTCAGCTGTTCTTTTAAAGCCCTCTTTCTTTAATTCACTCTCTTTTAGATGAGGTCCATTATCATGTCCATTGACATTGAGTCTACATCCGATTGTCATATGTTTGACATTGAGTCTACATCTGATTGTCATATGGTTGACATTGACTCTACATCCGATTTTCATATGGTTAACATTGAGTCTACGTTCGATTGTCATATGGTTGACATTGAGTCTACATCCGAAAATCATATGGTTGACATTTTACATATGGTTGACAGTCTACATTCGATGGTATTATTGTTGAATCTCTTGCTCTTTTCTAAAAATAGTACTCTAGCCACTGCTTAAAATAAACTATGATCATTTGTTTAATTAACCAAAATTAAATCTTTTATATCTTTTAGATGAGTCCCATTATTTTAATGTTATTATTTCATCATGCTCAAATTACATCTATCCATTTAATTTTTTTCCTCAGTGCTTTAGGATTTCTTTAGTGCTTTAGAATTGCAAGTACTCATCTACTTTTTTACTCAGTGCTTTAGAATTATTTCTTGTTTTTATGTTTTCCTGACAATTTACAGTATGAATCTTCTGCTAACTGTTTTCTTTATTATATTATGCATACATACATTCTGTTTATGTGCGTAATGTAGTATTTAAAATAAATTAAAAAAACTTTACGTGCCTAATATAGTATTTAAAAAAAAACTTTAAAAATTTACGTACCTAAAATCCATATTAATCCAGCACAACCAATCGTTCTGTACCCAGAGAACAAATTTCCTATGATAATTTTTTACTTTTTTAACACAAAAGAAGATTTTTTTAACTTTACAAAAAAGTTAGAAAAAATAATCAAATAAATAATCAATTATAACAATAATAAAAATAATAATAATAATAATAATAATAATAATATATATATATATATATATATATATATATATATATATATATATATATATATATATATATATATATATATATATATATATATATATATATATATATATATATATATATATAATTTATAGTTGCTCTGTTCTTAAAAGAACAGAGCAACTATAAATTAGTAGAAAATCACTTGATAAAACTTTTTTTCATTTAACACTTCTTGTTTCATCAATAAAGACTTATTAGAAAAGAAAAGATTAGATATTTCTGTTGTTAAATGAGTTCAATGTATTGTGTTGAATAAAAAAACTTTGTTAAGTGATTTTCTACTAATTTATATATATATATATATATATATATATATATATATATATATATATATATATATATATATATATATATATATATATATATATATATATATATATATATATATACACACATATAAAAATGCAGCATTAGACGCACGGAAATGACGTCATAAAAACAGGAAGTTGCTGGGGGCATAAGTATATACATCAACTAACAAACAGCCTGACCCGCAGCAGAGTGTTGCAAGATCAACTGAGGGTTTGGGATAAGGCAGCAATATCAAAATATTTTTGAAACTTTGACATATTACAGTTATTGCATAAGTATATTATATGTATTTATGATTATATAAATATGTATTTTTTTATAAAACTTTTTAAATTTTATCTAGGGTTTATTTTATAAACACTTTCAATAGCGAAAAATTTTTAGCGCAAAAACAAATTAATAAATAAATATGTTTTTTTTAATATCAAATTTAAAAGTGTAATAAAAAGTACTAGTTTCTATAAGCATTAAATTAACTACAGGGTGTAAACCAGGAGTAAATTTGATACAGGATTTCTAACAAAATATGGAATTAGTCAAAATAATTTCTAATCTCTTCCCTCCGTCCTCCCCCACCCCATCCCCTGCCGAGAGTAAAATCCCTGCCGAGAGTAACGGTTTCTCAATATTTTGAATAAACTTATTTGACAAAGCAGATGTACTATTTGAAATAGAGTTTGCAGTAAGACTTAATATACAGGGCTTACAAAACAGTGTGAGGGGAGAAGGAGGGGGGGGTAGAATGAAGCACCTACCCACCACCACCACTTTTTTCTAAATGCGGTGGTGGTGGGTAGGTGCTTTAGGTCCTTTTTTTTCTTTTTTTTTAAAGAAAATCTCAGACATAATGGACTTTTTTTAGAAATTAATAATTGTGCCCCTCCATTTTGAAACCCAATATGTTGGCCATGATAAGTTATTTGAATTTTTAGCCAGGGATGTGGAGTCCGAGTTGGAGTTGCAGAGTTGCGGCATTTTCAGCAGAGTCGGAGCCGCTAAACAAAATCGCAACTTTGACTCCAATAGTAAAACATCTCGGTATTGCCATGCATGTACAAAAAATTCAATTAACCTTATGTTTATAATAAACCTCAAACAATATTTCATAAATTAGTCAAAAAAGAAATTTTTAACTTATCGCAAAATATTTTTTAAAGAATTCAAAATTTTTTTTTAAAGTTTGCTTTGGAGGTTATGTCGGAGTTGGAGTCGGAGTTGTGCTCAAAAAATTTTAAAAACTGGAGTCTGAGACAGTGTTGTACTCAAAAAATTTCAACAACTGGAGTCGGAGTCGTTACTTTTTTTTTAGGACTCCACACCCCTGTTTTTAGCCAAAATAGGCGAAACTTTTAAAAGAAATGGGAGATAATAAACCAAACAATTTGTTATTTTTTTTAATTGTACCTTATTTGCTGCCATTTTTTTAATATAATATTTGCTGTTGTTGGAAGGCATTGCAAAGAATTATGAGCAAATTTTTAAAAATAAACTTAACAAATAAGTTGCCAAGAAAATCCCTAAAATTACTGGGAAAATCCTAACTCTTAAGAAGTTCTTTCCAAGAGACATTTTCACAGGTTTCCACTCACCCGTTCTTTATGGAAATGAGATAAAAAAAGGGAAAAATAATCAAGTAATCATGCATAGTTTAACTTTAGGCAAATTAAAACTTATAATACATATGCCCACGTGATTATTTTTCCCTTCTCATTCTGATGAAAAAACTATTATTATTATTCTCTTAGTATTTAATATCAATTAATTTTCTATAATTTTAAGATTTATTATTTTTAATTTATGAATTTTTAATTTATGAATTAGCAAACTTAATTAGGAAATTGGTATTTATTAAATTGGGAATTTTAATTTCATGAGCATTTGGGAACACCACGTTTGACAGGACTACCCCAGGCTAGTTTACACCTGAACTATTATGTATAAGTTTTTATAAAATAAATTTAAAAGGGGTTTTAAAAGCTAAAATATTTATTTGAAACTTATGAGAACCAATGGACAAAAAAAAAAAAAAAACTAACACTAAACTATAAACTTAAAATCAATAAATTAAATTACAACGTTTTAATATAAATGATAAAACGAAGCTACTTAATTCAAATAAAAGTAATGTTTTTCAACTTCAATTTAAAAAAATAAAGTTAAAAAAATAAAGTTCATACAAGGGTGCGCAGGTTATCGCAGAAAAAAATGAAAACAAAAATTTTGCGGCAAAAAATATGATATACAGTGAAAAACATTTTTGGCGGGAAAATGCAACACAGTTCAACAAGTTAATCCTTAAAAAATGCCGTTTTTCACTAATTTAGAAGTAAAAAATGGCACGATTTGACAGCACGCAAAATGAAAATGCAAGAAAACTTGTTTTTGATCTATGGAAGTGTGGTGTGAAAAAAGTTGAAATTTGCAAAGCCGTGAAGGGACAGCTTCATAATTCCAAAGTCTACAGACTCTTAAAAGACTTAGAAACTGGAAAAATTACAAAAGAAAAAAAACAGGCCCAAATCGTTATGTGAGAACTAAAGAACTTCGAAATTCGATCGACTGCAAAGTACGACGAAACCCAAACAGGTCAATTTCATCCTTAGCTAGAGAAGCAGGTGTGTCTCGAAGGACTATGCAACGTGTTGTCCACGATGATCTGGGTATGAAGAGCCTTGTCAAATCAAAAAGACAACTTCTGAGTGAGGCAACTAGAGCCAAAAGACGCAAAAGATCAAAAGAGTTACTAAATTGGTTCAAAGACCACAAAGATGTCCCTATCGTTTACAGTGATGAAAAAATTTTCACAGTTGAACCAGAACCCAACAGATACAATGACAGAGTTCTTAGTAAGTCCAGAAGAACAGTTCCTTTGGAACTGAGGACTATTCCAAAGAGACAGCACCCTGTGGGCGTCATGGTTTGGGCAGGTGTGTGCTCTGATGGGTCAAAAACTCCCCTTGTTTTTGTTCCTGAAGGTGTAAAAGTCAACCAGGTGACCTATGTCGACTTCATCAAAGCTAACCTCATTCCTTGGGCCAAAAAGAAGTTTGGGGACGATCCATGGGCCTTTATGCAAGATAGTGCACCAGCACACAGTGCAAAGAAAACTGTCAGCTTCTTGAAAGAAAATGTTCCGCACCTTTGGACCCCAAATATGTGGCCCCCTTCAAGAACAGACATTAATCCTATGGATTTTGCTATATGGAGTGTCATGGAGACCAAGAAGGCAGCCAAAACATATCCAAATTTGGCAGCCCTCCGAAACGAATTAAAGAAGATCTGGAAGAATCTTAGTCCGGACATGGTGCGACGATGCTGTGAGTCAGTTCCAGAGCGTTTGAAGAGTGTCATTGATGCCAAAGGAGGCTAGTTTGAAATTCATTAGTGTTTTTGAGTAAAAATATATGTGATTTGGTATTGTGAAAAGTTTTACTAAGAAAATAAAAGCCATTTTTGAGATATAAATATTTTTATTTTTCTGCGATAACTTGCGCACCCCTGTACAATATAGAATTTATTAAAAATTTTGGAACAACTAAAACGATTAGAAAATAAATTCCTATCAAATTTATGTCAGACAAAATGACCGATAGATGTCATTTTTTACCGGACAAGTGCCTGACAATGTCTGATGTCCATCGCTTATTTTGAGCCCTGTATGCTTATATATATTATTAAATGTATATCCTTTCTATGTCATTTTTAATTTTACCATTATCAGGTCAGTTTTAGGTTTTTTTTTTAAATAATTGTTTCCAAGAACGCAAAAAAATTTGAAACTTTTTTTTTTAAAAAAGTTTTTTTTTTTTTTTTTTTTAAAAGTTATTTCTTTTTATTATTTGATAGACTACCTGCCCCAACCAAAATCTCAGTCGATATAGTGGTACTTCCTTAGAGCAACAGGTTAAAAGATAGTCAATGTAGCAGCACTCACTTATAGCAGCAGCCTTTTAGATAGTTGATGTAGCAACACTCCCACTAACTTATCGCAGCAAGCTATAAGATATTTTTAGTAGTGGTAAAAACCATGGAGTAAATGAGGCTTGACTTGACCGACGAGAAGGAATAAAAGCTTTCATCTCTGCCTGAATACAAGAGGTTATTTTTCAACTGAGAGGGAAAAGACATGAGCCTTGATAGTAAGTGATAGGGTGAGACCGAAAAGGAAGGACAAAATAAATGATTTAAAGAAATCATTGTATGGTCAGAACAACCTAAAGAAGAAAACGAAGAAACTAAGCTCAAGGTAGGATCAGAGACAAGACATAAATCAAGAAGTAAATGTAAATGATAATGGTTGTCAGGAAAACCAGTCACAAAGTTAACTATCAGAGTAAGAGATCAAGACATACAGAGTCAGTGGCAGTGCAAGGGTCAGTGGCAGAGCCAGGGTCAATGGCACTAGAGCCAAGCCATTTAGTGTGATGAGCATTAAACTTGCCAATAACAATATATTAGCAAATGGGTAAAGAGAGAGAGCATGGTCATTATGATCAGAAATTACATCTAAAAGAGTGCAGATTTGGGAG